TTTGGGGAGGAAAGCTGAAACTTCTCATTTTTTTCGGGCCYATACTGTAACATACTCATTTGAAAGTATTGTTTTGTACTTTGGGAGAAGCAGAATTGTATTTTTGCTTCTCCTTTCCCCATTTTCTCATGGGTACATGGAAGGGTCAGCTATTGACTTAACTCCCATATCCACGATTCAATGAGACCACTGACACTTATTCACGGGAGGAAAAGAAGTACATGAGCACATGGAAACCTTAAAGAAGAAGAATCATTGCTGGTTATTAAATACAGACAACATTTACATTAACTGGTAACCTGTCTTTGCAACTCACTGATTAACACAACTGCTTACCTAACCATTATGTGAAAAAATTGCCCTCAGCTAAAATAAAATGTGAATTAAATCCAAYAATCCCTCAAAGGTGGACTTTGCATCCCTCAAGGGTGTCAAGTGAGAAGCGAATATTTTACCTSAGTAAATGGGAAATGGGATGCTTTGTCTGGATCTCAGAAATGGATCTCTTTGGCCTTTCGAAGAACACGTCGTGCTGCACATCAGAGTCTGGTGACACAGAGCCGTGCTCACTGCTGCTGCTGCCAGCCTGCTCTCCATGGATTGGCAGTGGGAGGGACGTGTTCCGATTGTAATCTACAACACATTGCAAAATGGGTGACAGAACCTGGCCAAAGGAGGCAACAAAAGTGCTTCAAACAGCTGGGATCATCCTCAGTGATATCAAGAGCTCGTTTTGCAAAACTGAGGGAGAAGTGACCTTGTTGACAAAAAGCAGAACACAACTCTAAATCATTGAATAAGCAATAGAAGGTTTTAACAAGTCAACTACTAAAGGTAAAGACAGCACAGATCCTCATGGGAAATGCCATTTTGTTATCCTCTCTCACACATCACACAGAGTTCCCCTTGGGGCTGGTCCCACCGAGTKGCACAAATGGATATGAGCAGCTTAAAGAACCTGAATAAAACCAATGATTTGGGCTCAGCCACTGCTCCAGCACAGGCACCTCTCAGCAGAGAGCACTCCAATGCCTGCCCTCCTCACCTCTGCCGTGTTCATGGACATTAAAGTTCCCTCCCCATACCCAGAATATGTGTGTCTGTATAGTGCCCTCCCCATACCCAGAATATCTGTGCACTGCCCTCCCCATACCCAGAATATCTGTGTCTGTACAGTGCCCTCCCCATACCCAGAATATCTGTGTCTG